AGGAGAAATGAAGAGTCCGATGCTCAGCCAACTGTACCAACCAGGGGCCCCCCAAAACACTATAACCGGAAAAAATTTCAAAGGTAATTTTATAGCTCAAACTTCAAAATAAAAAATTCGCTAGATAAATGAAACTTCAAAAAACTAAGGAAAATTTTAGAAATAATGAAATCAAGATAGAATTCCACTGAAGAATTTGAATCATGAGTAATATTCTTCTATTTACATTTCAAACTTAAATACTATCATCTTGGAAATAAGTGCATCAATTCAACTGTTTTGTGGTATGAACTTTGGCACATCGTTTACCACACATCATTTCCATATTAGTACAGTCAGTTCAATAAAAACAAAAAACTATTAACAGTTCAAATACTACACATTTTAAATAAAGACATATTTTTATGTATGCAAGATCAAAACAATTTTTAATGAGTTACCTGAATGAAGCAAAAGATGTTACTGTTCATTTTTTTTTTAAGATTTTATTTATTTAGTTAAGAGAGAGAGAGAGCTAATGAGCACGAGTGGGTGAGGGGCAGAAGGAGAAGCAGACTCCCCACTGAGCAGGGAGTGAGGGGCAGAGGGAGAAGCAGACTCCCCACTGAGCAGGGAGCCCAAGTTTTTTTTTTTTTTAAAGACTTGAGAGATCGAGAGAGAGAGGGAGAGGGCGTGCAAGTGGGGAGGGGAAGGAGGGGGAGGAGCAGAGGGAGAAGGACAAGCAGACTCCCACCTGAGCACAGAGCCTGATGCAGAGCTCTATCCCATCACCCTGAGATCATGATCTAAGCTGAAATCAAGAGCTGGACGCTTAACTAACTGAGCCACCCATGCACCCCATTACTGTTAATTTTTAAGTGAAAGCTGATTTTATGATCTTCGAAACTTAGGCAAAACAGTTTTGAATAAAGATCAGTAAATATTTAAGATATTAGAGTATATTAAAGTACATTTACATTTAATGTAAAGTATTACATTTAATGTACATTTAGTATATTAAAGTCCATATTAAACTAATATGGACTTTATCATACAGACATTCTTAATCTTGTTGGTAATACTTCCATGTTTTTCCTTCTGGTTCATTAAGACCAAATAATTTGAAATGCAGTAAGAAAATAAAGTGTAAAACCAACTAATAATTCAAAAATGTGTAAAAAAATATAAGGTGAGATTTTGCTTCCTACCTAAGAAACAAGAGTTTCTTTCCCAAATCCCACGTTTCTTATATTATGATAGTATATAAGCCTTTTCCTCCTCTCCAAAAAAAATACTGAGGAACCTATACCAAACCATGGTAAAGGAAAAGGTTTTGGTTAGTTCCCTTTGGAAAAGAAAACCATAAAGCAGAGTCATGAAATACAGAGAAAAAGATCAATGTCCTGTAGTAGAATTCACGCGTTCCGGCTCCAAGACAAGAGAAGATAAAGAAACCTACCTTACAGTTCATAATCCCATACCTTCTCTTAAGCTTGTGCTGTCTTGTCTTTCTTTTTCCCAATAAAGTTTACTGAGATATAAATCACATATAAAATTCACTCATGTAAAAGCGTTTGACTCATTGGGTTTTAGTATATTCACAAAGCTGTGCAACCATCACCACTATTTAATTTCAGAATATTTTCATCACTCCAAAAAGAAACCCCATACCCATGAGCAGTTGCTCCCCATCTCCCTCTGTCCCCAGCCATGGCAACCACTCATCTATTATCTGACTCCATCGATTTGCCTACTGTGGACATTTCACAGAAACAAAATCAAATAGTATGTGGCTTTTTGTGCCTGGCTTCTATCACTTAGCCTGTTTTCAAGATTCACCCATACAGGGTGCCTGGGTGGCTCAGTTGGTTAAGCAACTGCCTTCGGCTCAGGTCATGATCCTGGAGTCCCGGGATCGAGTCCCGCATCGGGCTCCCTGCAGGGAGCCTGCTTCTCCCTCTGACCCTCTTCCCTCTCGTGCTCTCTATCTCTCATTCTCTCTCTCTCAAATAAATAAATAAAATCTTAAAAAAAAAAAGATTCACCCATACAGTAACTCACATCAGTACTTCACTCCTTTTTATTGCTAAATAGTATTCCATTGTATGGATATATAACCTTTTTTTTTTAAATCCATTCATTAGCTGATGGATGTTTGGGTTGTTTACATTTCTTCTGTTATTTTTTAACAACTGATTTTTGTGTGTGTGGCAAAATACATGTAACATAAATTTATCATTTTAATCTTGTTTATGTGTACAGTTCAATGCATTAAATATATTCACACTGTACAACCATCACCTCCATCCATCTCCAGAAGTTTTTCATCTTCCCAACCTGAAACTCTGTGCCTATTAAACACTAAACTCCTGGGGTGCCTGGGTGGCTCAGTCGGTTAAGTCTCTGCGTTCAGCTCAGGTCATGATCCCAGTGGGATCGAGCCCCAAATTACATCGGGCTTCCGGCTCAGCAGGGAGTCTGCCTCTCCCTCTCTCTCTCTGCCCCTCCCCCTCCTCTGCTCTCTCTCTCTCTCTCTCTCTCTCTCTCTCTCTCTCCAATAAATAAAATCTTAAAAAAAACAAGAACACTTAAGTCCCCATTCCTGCCTTCCTCCAGCCCCTGGCAACCACCATTCGACTATCTGTCGCTGTGGATCTGACATATAAGTAGAATCATATGAATCATATGATATTTATCCTTCTGTGTTGCTTATACTTATTGACTATTATAAATAGTGCTGCTATGAACATTCGTGTACTGCTCTTCTATGGGCGTATGTTTCAATTCTCTTGGGTCCCCTTTGTTTTACCTGTCCATTAAGAACTTATCTGCCTCTTTCTTTGTTACATAAATTGAAGTTAGCCAAACCCATATTATCTTTTGCCTGAGGAGGTAGTTCTTGTTATACCTGCCTTGTCCTTTTGAACCTAGGTCTGTTCCACTCCCATTCAGGTGAAATAAGCAAACTGGAGAGATAAGAAAAAGTTTTTAGATCAAAGGATGCCCAAACAAATGAGAAGAGTCAGGGTGATGAAAGGTTAGGTAGTACAGCCAGAAACAATTCTCCAGTTCCATACCAGAGGCTAAACCACACATTCCCAATGATTGTTAAGTCTTACAACTCAATAATAAAAAGATAAATAATCCAAATAACAATGGGCAAAGCATCTGAAAAGACATTTCCTCAAAGAAGATACACAAATGGTTCCTAGGCACATGAAAAGATACTCAACTTCATTAATCATTAGGGAAATGCAAATCAAAACCATACTGAAATAGCACTTCACACACACTAGGATGGCTATAAGTAAAAAACAAGAAATAGCAAGTACTCTCAACGACATGGAGAAATTAGAACCCTTATATACTGCTGATGGCAATACAAAATGGTGCAACCTCTATAGAAAACAATATAGCAGTTCCTCAAAATGTTTAAGAGTTACTATATAATTCAGTGATTTCATTCCAACATATAGATGCAAGAGAAAGGAAATACAAATGCATACAAACGCTTGTACATGAATTTTCATAGCAGCCTTATTCAATAACCAAGAAGTGGAAATAACCCAAACGCCCATCAACAGATAAATGGATGAACAACATGTGCATATCTATACAGAATGAAGTATCGACGCATGCTATGAGATGGATGAACCTTTTAAACACTGGTTAAGTGAAAGGAGCCAGTTAGAAAACAGCACATATTATATGGTACCATTTATAGACAATGTCCACAAAAAGCAAATTTATAGAGGCACAGGTAGATTAATGGTTGCCTAGGGCTTAGAGCAGCTGAAGGGAATGGGAAGTGACCACTTATGGGTACACAGGATTTCTTTTGGCGGTAATGAAGATTTCTAAAAAGATCATGGTGATGGTTGCATAACTCTGTAAATACACTTAAAACCATTGAATGATATGCTCAAATGAGTGAATTGTATGACATGTGAACTGTATTTAATGTTACCAAAACTGAATTGTGAGAAAACGATCACAAACTTGGATGTCACAGTAAATGTCAAATTGCTTCAAAAGTCTCTAAGGCCTACCCTCAATTTTTGTACTTACCTCACTGTGGACAGATAATAAACTGCCCATGGCCTGCATACCAGTCCATAATACACTGTGAATAGCCCTGATCTGCTCCGTTCTCTTACCTGTAATGCTCCCTCATCTAAGCCCCAGTAAGAACTACTTAGAGTCAAGAAAACAATATAGTTAGTGACTCCAAGTTCTGGAGTCAGACAAACCTGCACTTAAATTCCAGCTCTGCCACTTACTTCCTAGCGTCATGGTTTGGTTCTCCTGGATCTCAATTTAGTCCCATGTAAAATGGAGATGAGTACAACTTACATCATCCAGTTTTAGGAGTATTACTGAGATAAACCACACAAAGTGCTCAGCCAGTCTCCAGCACACAGTATGGGTTCAACAAATGTCATGCACTGTCACCCTCAGAGCCGCCTCCTCCATCTCCTCCCCCTTTTTCCTCTTGGATCTTTGCATCCAACCTCATCTTTCCCTAAGTCTTTCAAGCCCCAGGACTCTGGTACTGTTCCATTGCCCTAACACATAGCAACATGTTGCTTCTGCCTGACTGGGAGCTATTCCCCATTCCTGTAAACACAAAAACCTCACATTCCCTTCAGGAAACTACCCCTTTCCTCCAGTCAGTCCCTGTGGTTTGCGGTAGGAAGATGATGTACTTGCAGCTCCAGGGCCAGGCAGATAACCCTGGTCCAGCCAATCACAGAATCCATCTCTCTGGCCTTAGAAGAAGAGCCTTTGCGAAATCGAAGGCAACAAAGAGGAAAGCAAAACCTCGAGATGAAGAGAAAATGGAGTTCTCCGACATCACCTAAGACCCAAAATCCAGCTACGTCCTAAGTCAGCCCTTACTACCTCTGAGGATTTGTGTTACCATCAGCCAAGAAATTCATTTTGCTGCCTAATCCAAGTCTGAGTTGGTTTTCTGTCACTTGCACACGAAAGTGTTTCGTGTTTGAAAGTCAGCGGCTCACCGAAACCCAAACATGATTTCATCGTGGCGGAGGTGAGCATCATCATCAATAGACAGGATGGCCTCTGTCTCAATTTCATTCCAGGGCAAGAATCGATTGTTCAAACTGTTCTTCTCAGTACGGACCACCTGTAAGGAGGAAGTAAAAACACTAATGATCAATGCTGCATTACAGAATGCAAAACCAAAACTGCCTTTAGGTCAAAGGAGACTGTAGCTAAATTTACTAAATAATCTTGCCTGGTTGCCTACGGCTTATAAAACCTAGCATATGCCTTTCAGGAATAGGAACTGCCTTATAATTCAGCAAATGTATAAGGAGCTCACATTTTAAGCTTTAGTCATTCGCTAATTTTCTTGTGAAACAAGCTAAAGCTGAGGATTATTTTACATAAGTGATAAACACAGTCTCGGGAAATCAAAAATAACTTTCCCAAGAGAACACAAGATGGCAGAGCAGAACTGAGATTATAATTCCCAGCTCGAATCCCCAGGCTTGCTCATAAATTTTAAAACCCAACTCAGAAATCTCCTGAGTCTGTGTCATTTCTGATGCCTAATTTTAAGGTTTATTTAAAAAAAGAAAAAAAAAAGGAGAGCCCACCCAGTAGAGGTTAGTTACCTCACCTTTGCAATTCCCACCTGTAGCACTGACTACACATACAAAAACTTTTTCTTGCAAGGGGTACCTAATTCAGAAAAATTAACTGCTGTGTCCACAGCAAATCCCTATTCAAAGAATCTCTATCCAAAGTGACCCATATATGCAAAGCAGTATTTTCTTCATAAAACAAAGATTAGTGCCCAAACAGAACTATATTATAAAATTTTTTTTTATTTAGACTTTCCCTTAGATAAGTACAGTTTACTACAACATAGGTAGTAGCTTTGTTAATCACCTTGCCCAATACTCAAATGAGGATGACCATATTCAATACTTTAATAGCTCATTTTATTTTTATGGTATCTGTATCTAATTAATCCAACTAATGAGGAACTATCAATTTATTCTCAAGAAAACAAAAACAAAGAGAACTTCCTGAAGAATCATCTTTTTAGAAAGACTGGAAGGGTCACCTTACTTTCAACAGAAACTTTTACTTGTACTGAGAATAAGCTCTACCTAGCTTAATGAATGGAATTACATGCACGGCCTAAAAGTTTATGAATGTTTTCAAAGGTAATCCTATGATCTCACAAATATGGCCTCTTCAGCTTAAAATACTTTTTCTCCTATTCTTCTATCAAAAGTATTCTCTCGGGCGCCTGGGTGGCTCAGTTGGTTAAGCGACTGCCTTCGGCTCAGGTCATGATCCTGGAGTCCCGGGATTGAGTCCCACATCAGGCTTCCTGCTCAGCAGGGAGTCTGCTTCTCCCTCTGACCCTCTTCCCTCTCGTGTTCTCTATCTCTCATTCTCTCTCAAATAAATAAATAAAAAATCTTTAAAAAAAAAAAAAAGTATTCTCTCCCTAGAGACCCAGCTCTCACGCCTGTCACTTCCTTCCTCTTCAAAATTAATCATTTCTATGTTCTTAGAGCAGAGTGCACATACTTCAATTAAATCATTCTAAGACACTTAAAATCCAATTAGTTCAGAGCTAAAAGGGCCTTGGAGATCATATGATCCAACTCTCACCTTGTACATAGATGACAAATGACAGAGCTAAGGCAGTAACTTGTGCCTTCTAACTCCAAAGCAGTCTTCTGCTAAACTTACATTAAATTTAGAGCTCTCATCAAACCAAAGCCCTATGGAAAATACATTATTGTGTACCATCAAGAAAGAAAAATGCTGCCAAATAAGAAAGCACGTGAAATAGTTTATCACTTAGAACGTTTACTTTATTAAAGAGCTTCTTAAGACTTTGCCTCAGCCCCAGAGGAGTTCCTCCCAAGTCAAGAGAAGAAAAGATCTCTAATAGATTTGCTACTACAGAGAACAGATGTCAGAGCCAAGTGATAGACACAGAAATCCACCTTGCCCTGAAGCATGTTTGACCAGTATAAAAAAATCCCTGGGCTTAAAGCCTTGTCTCCCAAGCTCAGATTCAGCAGTTGCAGAACAAAGCACTGAGGTCTGGGTCAGGGAAAAAGCAAGGAGGGGGAGACGATCAAGTACTCACCATAGAAGCTGCTGGGCTCCATCCCCAAGGAGCAGGAAAGTGGCCGGAAGCAGAAGTCAAATGCCAACCTCAGCAACCATAAAATGCCATCTATCTTAAGATGCACCCAATTTTAGAGATGTTAAAATGTTAATAATGTTCACCTTACAATCAATGGACTATGGCATCTGTTTGCTCAACCACACCCAACAAACTACCCTTGGTCCTTCATTTTACTTTCCTAACATGCCTAGTATTCACTTAATACAGAACTGCAATTCTGCCAGTTCAGGTAAACAAAGCTCCCCCCTCAACTCTAGGAACGACTACACATAGCTTAAAATGAAGAAGAAATAACTGAAAAATCCATTTCTTGAATATTCAATTATAGATCATCAGTTTTGCAGGTTAGACAGCAGGAGGATTACCTACAGCAAAATTAGTAATCCAGGAAATCTAGCACAAAGCTTTAGTACTCAAAGTGTGAGCCAAAGACCAGGAACAGGCGCCTCGCTGTCCTCCCTAGGACTCTCTTAGAAATGCAGGCCTACCCCAAACCTACCAAGTCAGAACCTGCAAAATCCCCCAGTGATTCCTATTTTGAGAGGGTTGGTAGTGGAAAAAGCAAGTCTTTGGAGTCAATCAGAAAAGCCAGAGTTCAAATTCCAACTCCACCACTTACTTGTGCAAAGGTAAGGAAGCAACCTCTCTGCTAAATGAATACAGCAAGCACCATGTTGTGTACAAAAATGGAACTTGTTTATCAGCCAAACTTGACAATCTTATAAACAACCTAACTCACTTTAAAAACAAGAAGCAACAACAAAAACTAAAATAGTCGTGATCTGATGCCTATGGCATATCCAAAATTTTTATCCAATTTACAAAGTAAATCAAATCAAGGGGACCTGCTTGTTCATTGGAAGACTGAGAACTGAAAATCTAATACCAAATGTGTTTTAGCCTAGACTTCACATCTTTTTTTTTTTTTTTTTTTTTTTTTCAAAGTTGATAAAAGTCCATTAAGAACAACTACTATGGGGGCACCTGGGTGGCTCAGATGGTTAAGCGTCTGCCCTTGGCTCAGGTCATGATCCCAGAGTCCTGGGATTGAGCCCCGCGTCCAGCTCCCTAATCAACAGGGAGCCTGCTTCTCCCTCTCCCTCTGCCTCTCCCCGCACTACTGCGCTCTCTCTCAAATAAATCTTGAAAAAAAAAGAACAACTACTGTGGATTCCAGAAATACAGTGCACATACTACCTCTGCTCATCCTGGCACAACTCCTCTGGGCTGAATGGAAGCAAGATTTTCAGGATAAGGGAACTGATGCAATAGCCATCAGAATAAAAGAAATAATTTAAGAATTCAGAGAAACACCACATCATGAATTGCAGCAGCTTATTTCTGGTTAGCTCACAAACAACTGTGGTTAATAAGTTTGCTTTCACAATTTACAGCAGGGATTCTCAACTCTGAGTGATTCTGCCCACCAAGAAACATTTAAAACAATATCTATGGACGTTTGTGGTTGTCACTACTGGTGGTGGAAGGGGGTAAGCTACTCATGTCTAACAAGCAGAGGCCAGGGATGCTGCTAAATCCTACAAAGCACAGGACAAGCTCCCACACAACAAAAAATCATCCAGCCCTAAATGTCTTTTGGGCCACTGTTGAGACACCTAATTTAGAGTCAACAATCAGAAGACGGTACAGCAAACTTCAAAGAATAAATGTAGTTTGTCATTTAAGAACAATCACCTTTTCCTCAAAACCAAAAAGAGATTTCTGCACTTATAAACACTGCACAAACTAAAATTGAGGAGGGGAAAAGAGTAAAAGCTTTCTTCTAACAGTTCTGCTTCAGAGCTATAGTGCTTAATGGCTAGACAAAAGCTCAGGAAACTAACCCTTATCCCTTCTGGCACCAAAATCATAAGGACAAAAAAACTTAAATATTTGTAATGCAGACCTGCATATCAGCATTGCCCTCTAAGAGTTTGAGAAATGGCAGATCAAACATGAAAGAAATGAGTCATCCAGAGTAGTAAGTCATGTCTAGGAAATATTCCCAACTTTTGTTGACATTGTTTTGTTTTTCAAATTAAAAAACTCCTTCTTCCTCAACATTGGCTATTTTTTCATGCCTTATGATTATACCTTAGAAACCTGTGAACATGAAGACTGACCTTCATGTTCCTGAGTGAATTACTGGTTACGACATTGACCAGAATGTATAGACTACTTCCAGTAGGTGTTCAACAAACATTTTATAAATGAATGAACAAATGACTAGGAAATAAGCCCTAATTTTGCCCTGTCCATTCTATTTTCAGAATATGGAATAAATACTTGCTGAATTTTTATATCAAAACTTTAACATTCCATATACTGAAACCTCCTACTATTTAATCTAGTTTTCTACAGCACAACAATCCATCAACTTACAACTATCAAGTCAGGAGCAATGCTCAGTAACATTCATTTTTCTTATTTCACATACAATGCTTCCTGGAGATGCTTCACTAGTTCTCCTGTTTACCAACATTCATAAAAGCCTTGACTTTCTCTCACTGAAACTCTCTTCCTATCACAATGGAACACATGGCCTGGAACCCTACCATATGCAAATGTACACAAGTGTATGCATGATCAAACAATAATTAGTAACCTCAGGTAACATTCAAGTTGGTTCTTGAGGAACTGTGGAATTTATGAATGATAAAGAGCTACTATTCTAATAGGATCCTTTCTCCTAGTATGCTAACAAGGCATTTGGCTTCTAAATCCAGACAGAATCAGCAAACCCACATTAAGTAGGAAAGTATGAATTTACATCATAAATATTTAATTAGTTATCATGATAAATTTGATGCCCAATAGTTAGCAAATATCTCTTAATATGTAAGGGATGGAAATATAAGTAGTTATTGCTATTAACAAGGAACAACAGACTATGTCAACAATTAGTAAGTGATAGTTGCTTAAATGCAGCAGGATGAATTTGGATTCAAACAGAAGAAATACCT